AATATTAATAATAATAATGATAATAATATTAATATCCAAGTTACAAGCATCTCCTCATCTGCTGGCAAGCTAAGGCATCTATCTATTACACTGGAGTCCACATGAGCCCAAGGGCCTGACAACATAATCGATGACAACAGGGTTGATATGTCTTTACACAGTTGAGTGATTGACGAGATTTAAAAAATAATAGTCATAAAATATACGGTAGTCTTTGTGGGAACGCCTGCAATGTAAAGATTCTGATTCCAACAAAATACTGAACAGTCGCACAAGAAAGGGTATAACATTATTTCAGCATGCTAGCACAAACATGAACAAGATAAAACAAATAAACAAACAAACAAATAACAAACACGTCAGGAGATTTCTGTGGCATTGTTGGTATAATGATGCAGGTTTTACGCCCCTTTCAACATAACATGGCAAATTCAAGAAGCGTGACTTCCGATTTTCAAGCCCAACTCCGGCAGTACCGAGCAGGCAAAGTATGTACATTAAATTGCAGTTCAGTCTTCTCATTTATTTGTTAAGTGATATGTTTTACACACACCATCGACGCTATCTGGATCTTTTAGGAGATATGAGCTGCCTCCACTTCGCCTGTCAGGGTCAACCTTGGCTGAGAAAGATGCAGAGATACTCGATCCAAAAAAAAAAAATCCTCCCCACACGGGAATCGAACTCAACCCCACTGAGTGCAACGGGCAAACACTTATCTGCTACACCACTGATGCCAGCCACTCATTTGGTAAGAGCATTCCAAAAATGAACATTTAAAATACAGTTCCCACTTCTTGGAAAAACTGTGTTGAAAAAGATGTAAAACTCACACAACGTTACGACCACACACTGGCCAACATACGTGCCCATTTGTACCTCTCTCATGATTTTCCTCGTTTCTCGTTAAAGAAGAGCATAAGAACCGGTGGATGTCCAGATCTGCAGACATTTTAGAACCTGTTCCTTGAGAAGAAAATGGGTCTAGTGTATGCTTCTGGATAACAACTGATTCTGCATCACATGAAACAACCAGGGTCTGTCTCCGTCCATCTTGCGTCATTCACAGAATTTATTGTTTTGCGGCATTAAGTCCTTTCCAGATTCACAATAATGTACAGCGTGCGTGTAACTTGTAAGCAAAAGTAGATTGGATAAGGGCTCTCAAAAGTACACAGTCAGTTCCTGTTTTTGTGCTGTAGGAACCACGCTAGTGTCTGGGTCAAGATTGTCCTGTGGGAAGAAATGAAAGCAAGATAAGATAAGATAAGATAAGATAAGATAAGATAAGATAAGGTAAGATAAGATAAAAAAAACTTAATTATCCTTGAGGGAAATTTTTCTTGGTTGTACAGGACCATAGAAACACATGCAGATATACATAAAAATTCAAATTATATTTTATTACTCTCTTAACACAATAGGAAAAGAGAAGTAAAGCTGACAAAAATGTACACATATCACATCAGATGTAACGTTCAACCACATGCAGGAATTTAATTACAAGACCTTTAGAGTTACATACATTAGCCTTTAGAAATTTGATATCTTCTTTTTAAAAAAATACCATATATTGTGCTTTCATCTACTTTTCATCATTTCCCCTTTTTTTCTCCTCTTTTTTTTCTTCTTCTTCTTTTCACACTTTTCTAAACTCGTCCACCTTCATCTCTCACCCCTCCTCCCCGTCCGTGTCGTTGTCCTCCCTCTCCTCTTAGTCCTCCTCCTCAACCTTCTTCTTCTCCTCCTACTCCTCCTGCTTTTCCTTCTTCTCCTACTCCTACTCCTCACCCCTCCTACTTTACCACCGCATCCTCTTCCTCCCCGCCCCCTCCTTCCTCCTCTCTTCTGCTCCTCTTCTTCCTCTTCCTCCTCTTCACGCATCTTAACAACAATGCCCTTTCCACCTACCATTACAAGCAGCAACTCAATACCCTCTGTAAACACCAAGTTGGCGCTCATATGACCTTAATATGCAGTAGTTGCAAGCACCGTAAAACCTCTACTAAATAAAAATAGAATAATAAAAAAACCAAGTAGATCTAGTGACGATGCGGACCAACCATGTTAGTAATGGCGGGTATTGAGTTCCCGTTTGGATCCCAGCCAAATACTCACACAGATACACACACACACACACACACACACACACACACACACACACACACACACACAAATATGTATACACATATGTGAGGCGTGCTGACAAAATGAGTTACTTCTCGCAAACCACAAATGGAGGTTTAGGCCAAAAATCAACACTAGAGTTAAATTTGTAGATAACTTTCTAATGATGCCATATTCTTTAAATATAATACGCCATTTCTTATGTCATATTTATAAATTGTAAAAACTTAAACTATTAGCGTAACGCATCTATTTCATTAGGTTTTGAATCCGAGAAGTGACTCATTTTGTCAGCACCCTTCACATATATATAGATCAACACAAAGCAAGGGCGAGAGATAAAAAAAAAAAAAAAGAGAGA